CTACAGGATAACACAGGCAAGAACCTCTTTGACCTTGGCCACAGAAACTTCTTGATAAACACATCTCCAAAGGCAAGGGAAACAAAAGCAAAACTGAAATATTGGGACATCTTCAAGACAAAAGTTTTGCACATCAGTGAAACAGTTGACAAAACCAAAAGACAACCTACAGAATGGCAGAAGATATTTGCAAATCTCTCATCACATAAAGGGCTAGTATCCATAATCTATAAAGAACATATCGAACTCAATACTCAATGAACAAATAATCCAATCAAGAAATAGAAAGAAGACATGAACAGAGATTTCTCCAATGAAGAAATACAAATGGCTAACAGACACATACCTCAACTTCACTAGCCATCAGGGAAATACAAATCAAAACCACAAGATACCACCTTACAAGGGTCAGAATGGCTAAAATTAACAAATAAGGAAATGACAGATATTAGCCAGGATGTAGAGAAAGGGGAACCCTCTTCCACTGTTGGTGCAAATGGGAGCTGGTATAGCCACTCTGGAATACAGTGTAGAGGATCCTCAAAAAAGTATAAAACAGAGCTGCCCTAGGACCCAGGAATTGCACTACTACGTATTTACCCCAAAGATACAAATGTAGTGATCCAAAGGGGCACCTGCACTCCAATGTTTATAGCAGCAATGTCCACAATGGGCAAACTATGGAAAAAGCCCAGATATCCATCAACAGATGAAAGGATAAAGAAGCAGTGGTATGTATACTCAATGAAATATTACTCAACTGTCAAAAGAATGAAATCTTGCCATTTGCAATGACGTGGATGGAACTAGAGGGTATTATGCTAAGTGATATAAATCAGAGAAAGACAATTTCATGATTTCGCTCATATGTGTAATTCAAGAAACAAAACGGAGGATTATAGGGGAAGACAGGGAAAAATAAAAGAAGATGAAACCAGAGAGGGAGACAAATCATAAGAGACTCTCAATCATAGGAGACAAACAGGGTTACTGAAGGGGAGGTGGGTGAGGGATGGGGTAATTGGGTGATGGACATTAAGGAGGGTACATCATGTCATAAGCACTGGGTATTATATAAGAGTGATGAATCACTGAACTCTATTTCTGAAACTAATAGTAGAGTATATATTAATTAATTGAATTTAAATTAAAAAATAGTGAAAAAAAGGAGGGGTGCCTGGGTGGCTCAGTTGGTTAAGCATCTGCCTTTGGCTCAGATTATGATCCCAGGGTCCTGGGATAGAGCCCCACATTGAGTTCCCTGCTCAGCTGGGAGCCTGCTTCTCCCTCTTTCCCTCTGCCTGCTGCTCCCCCTACCTGTGCTGTCAAGTAAAGAAAAAAAATCTTAAAAAAAAAGTTAAAAAGATGGTTTTACTGCCTTAAAATTACTTGACTACACAAAATTCTGAAACATAAATTAACATGTTGCTATATAAATTCTACTTAGGGTTGTATCACGATAAAAATAAACTGCAAAACACCCCTAAAAATAAATTCCACCAAGTAATATTAGTAACCTAAATCAACCAATCTGAAATGTTTTGATTTCTTCATATATTTACTACAAAATGTATTCTCTATAAAGAATCATAAAGATGCTGAGCAGGAAAGTTGGCAATTCAAAATTTATGCATTAATGAAAAGATACTAGCTTTTGAATTTTTAAAAAAATATTCTCCAATATCAAATTAAACCTTAATTTGTTAATAATTAACTTAGATAAAATTATTAGGTATTTATAATCTCTAGATGAAAGGTAATATGCTATTAAAGTAATTGTCACAGCTGGCAAATGAAAACATTCTAAAGTTGCAGAGAAAGGAAAGAAAAAGAAAAAAAAATCCTCAAAACTTTGGGAAAACATTGGTACCATAAAAAGTTTATTTTACTTAATGATATATTTGGTTTTCCGGCAATATGTAGCATAAAGTATCTTTTAAATAGTAATATAAAAGCCCAAGATAGGAAATGTAAGTGGCTTAAATATCCTAAGAAAACCAACTCACAGGCTCAATATATATCGACTTCAATTATTTTGTGTATTTTTGGCAAGTAGCTTTAAATCATCAGGGACCTATAACAGAGAAAGAGGGAAGAGAGTACTTTGTTCTTGACCTTGTCAACTAGGAAAAAATGGTTCTTCTTCTGAATATTGCTATAATAGCTTGTTATAAAAATTCTTTATTTTAAGAAACCTAGCAGGTAAAGTCAGAAAACATCAAAGCCCACTAATAATTTTTAACATACACTTTTGTATCTTTAATAGTGCTACTTTTAACCAATCAAGCAACTAAACACAATAATCAAACAATATATTCTTGCCTCACTCTGCAAATGTGAAAATTTGGGTTCCTTTCATAGCCACAGGACACCATATAAGAAGTCAGGGATGATATTTTTTCTAAATACCTTACTTCTTGATTCTGAATATGTAAAACAGACAATATATGTATAAAACATGCAGCCCAGTCTTTGGCCAGCTTACTTACCTTGAACCAAGTGAAGTTCTTGCCACTGGGAAGAAAATTGTCAATGCATGAATTGATAAAATGTTCCTGTTAGGGCTTTCAATTTCTGGATCAAAAATTACCTTTCAGTTTACTTCTCTCCTTCATTCGTGTACATTTATAATGTAATTAAGCCTCTGTGGGCAACACTACTATAAATAAAGATGCTATGGATTCACTGTTCAGTTGTTAAAACTTATAACCCATAAAGACATTAGAAATCTATTAATTTCAAAACAAAATGTTGACTAAAGCTTTGCAGGCTGTTATTTAATGCACCAAGCAGCCCACATTTAAAATGTCAAAACATTTATTACTTAAAAGTGACCCAAAGAATATCTACAATGACTAAGGCAAAAAAAAAAAAAGCCTTAACTTTCTATGATAAGCACCCTACATTTTCAAATAACAAATAGTAATAAGATATTATATTGCAAAGAAACAAAAAGGAAAGAACCAAGAGTTACATATTAAAATCTCTGAAGCTGAATAATGGAAACTCCTTCTTTCTTTCTTACTGTTAATTTATCTTCAGTACCTGAGTTAAAGCATAAAGCAGCAAGAGTGCAAGTGATTCCAAACAACTTGGAATTTTATTGTAAACATCCCATAAAGAATGGCAACAAATTAATGCAGTTTTTGTCTTTGAAGATAATTGCTTATAATGACTGGTAACTGCCAAACAAAACATCTTTTATAAACCAAGCCAGTTAGTTTACCTTTCTTTACTGAATTTTAGTTTAATGGACATTTTGTCCATATATAATGTCAAATCAACTATTAACTCAATGACTTTCCATCTTAAAATTTTATGGATACTAAGAACAAACATAAGGTACAGTTTTGTTAATACTTTGTAAGGGATTACAAAAGACAAAGATGGTAAGTTACAGGACAAAGAAATAAATTACTGATTGCCATCACCACAGTATTGTTTAAAGAATTAACATTTCTAGTACTGCCTAATGTGTATCTGGTGACATATGTAAAAACACATTTCCCAACTGGGTTTCTAAATATTTTTGTATGTGATTTTAAAAGTCAATTACCAATGGTGATTACATGTATCAATAGTTTTATTTTTTAGAAAATACTTATCATGCTTTTATATGTCAAAGTCTCATATTATAAATTTAATTAATATAGGTATAAGAATAACAAATGGGCATACATATAAATAAACACACCTTAACTTTAAACTGCAGGGCCTTTCTACTGTACTTCTCCCATCAGTGAATCACAAATTGCTAGTCTTGTTGAAGTGTGTTAAATTAGGTGCAGTCTTTATTGCAGTAAGAGAAGTGAGGATAAAAGTAAGCAGGGATGATTGAAAAGAAAATAATCAAGGCTATATAAGAAATAAATTCTAGAAACTTGAGGGTAATTCATATTTCACAAAATATAGCACCATGAAAAAAATTAACTTTATATTAGAATTTAAACAAAACTTGATAAACTTTACAATTAAAACGTAGTAAAGGAACTTTACTAAGAGATAAAAATTTTAAAAAAGCATGAAAATATTTTCACACTAATTTTCAAAATAAGCCTTAAAAGTTATCATACTCTATTTTCAATAAAACTTTCATAAAGCCTCATGGTACCACAAAAATATTAAGGATGGGGTTAACATTTAAAACAGTGAATTTTAAGTGTCAAAAATTCTATTCCGTCCCCCAGAAATGAACTATATTCATTTTGGAACTCAGTATGTTAGTAATTGTTTAAAAGTTTGGATATCGAAGTAAACTGAAAATTATACAGGATGTAAGTTTCCTTTTTGTGGATGTGAAAATTCCAACTTTAAAGATAAGTACCAGTTGGTAAATGTGCATAAAATAATTCCCAAGATATATAAGCAAGTAATAAAGGTGTTTATCACTACCACAAACATAAAAATTTTGAAAAATGCTCAAGCTTTTTCAAAAACTAAGAAGTGGCATTCACATTTTTCTTTTCAATCACTGTTATTGTCTGATGACAACTTCTAGGATTCCAACAGAACAATAAAATAGCAAATCACTCAAATTTCCTTCAAAGTATTACAAGGCCAAATTAGATATCTGAGCACACAGTTGTGCATTATGAGATTTATGAATTTTACTCAATTTCTTAGCCTCTGGGTGAAACAAAGTGCTGTAAGAAGAATTCTAGCACAAGCCTGATCTCTGGGAAGGGAAACATTAAAAGAAATAAGTGTAAGAATAAAAAAAAAAGATAAAGGGACACATGTATCTAATAAAAACCTAGTTTATCTAGAAGGCATAATGAAATGGATGATGAAGCAGTATATATACAGGCTAAGTGCTTTAAACAGAGGCAAAGACTGGTAGACTGTGAATACAGCTGTCTTCCATATAAAATATTGTTTTTTTAATGTCCGAGACAAAGTGTGTCAAGTTGGGGAAAAGATCTACACACACACACACACACACACACATGCACGCACACACACACACGCACACACATTTAGTCATTAAGCTAATAGGCTAGTGAATGTTTTGGAAAGCATCCTATTGCTGGAAGAGTTACACACAGCAATACAGAAGACACAATTGTGTTTTCATAAACAGAAACACATGCTAAGACCTTAAAGCTGGGAATTAAAAGATTATTAGCATTCATGAGAAATATTATAGTTCAGTGACTATTAATATCCAGCATAGGATTAGGTTTATACATATGTATGTTCTCATGGACCTAAATGTAAGTTAATTTCTTAGCAATTCATTTAAGATTTAGACTTTTCTTCAAAATTTTCACCTCATTTCCTACTTGCTTTGCTATGCCTGAACCTGAAATTATTTAAAGGTACTCTAAAAAATTAAAGTGTACGATATTCAATGTGATACAAATTACAACACATTCACAGGAGGCCGCATTACAAACAAGCAAAGTATAAATTGGGGGAAGTGTTCAGATATAAAAGTAAAAATACTATCTTCCAAACTTTTATCTTCACACGTATTAAAATAATTTGCATGCAAACAGAAAATAATCTGTTTGTTTTGTAATAAATGGTAAATATGATCATCTAACATACCCTGGTGACTTTTAAATCCTAATAACTGAAATCAACATTATAGCAAAATGCTGTTCACTAGTATTTTCACAGTATTTCACTACATATAAAATGTGCTTAAAAATGTCTTCAGCCTTATTCTAATTATCTAAACCTAGAAAATCTTGACATATGGGAAATAAATGTGGCATTTTTATTTTTCAAAATAAATTATAAATAAAGCTTGAGATAGCTAAAATCACACAAACAGCGATTCCTCTACATTTGAAGGGGTCAGCTCTTCATAGAAGAATGTCAACATAAAAATTTCACACTAAAATGATACACGTAATACACATTTGAGTATATCCATGAATTTAAGTAACTATGTTACTTTGATTAGGGTAAGTCAAAGTGTTATTGATTCTAGGAAAACATAGGCACAAATTTAGTCCAAATGCCCATGAGACGAATAATTAAAATTGTGTATTTTAGCAAAAATCAAATGCAGAGTTTCAAATGTGAATGTTTTTGAATTTATAGTATGGTTAAAAGTGTCAGCTGAGTTTAACCAGCAGTAGTTTTGGTTTAGTGAAAAACAACAACAATAACAACAACAACACTACAACAACAAAAAAATTAGCTTGATCTACTATTCAGTAACAGAAGTTAGTGCCATTAACAATTCACAACAATACTTTCTTAAAGCCTGAACATCATTTCTACTGCAAGTGAAAATTGCTTAAAGTTGTTAGTACAGGAACAACCCCCACCTGACCCAAACAAAAGAGCAAAGTTATGTGTGTACTCCTTCCTTTGCACTTAAGGATTTTCAGATGCATAAAATGACTGGAAACATGAAACAAACACATTAGGTTAAGAAATATCCTGGGATTACTAGGCATACATTAAGAAGTTTCTTTTATCTCCAAAGTCTGATCTAAGTGCAACAAATCTGCTGTTATAATAACAGAGATTAATATTATCCCACTCACCAAAACAAATTAGTGAATTTGAAATTTCTCAAATTTGAGGACTAAAATTCATCTTGGAACTCAAGCTCATTTATAGAATCATGTGCACTCTACTGCTGTAAACAAGATCATAAGGGTTTTAAAGATTTTTTTAATATATAAAATAATGACTTGAATATCAGTGTGCATTGTAATGAGGTTCTTTTCTAAAATATTATAATAGAAGAACCCTTTGGAATGGTATGAGCAAAACTTATTAAAATTGTCTCAAAATATTTGCTAGCCAAAACATTCCAATTCAAACTAGCTGCTTTGTTACATTTTAAAATTCAAATGAAAACCAATCACTCATAGCTGTTAAGTAGCAAGTGGTAGCAGAGATACATAAGCAGTAGACCAAGTCTACTTACACAGGTATGTACTAAGAAAAGCCTAAGGTATAGCATACTATACTTATGAAAGTTTGTTAATTACAACTATTAATTTGAGAGCCAATACAATTATTAACAACCTCTCAGCTTATAACATATGAGTATTCATTCCTACCAAGCTTGTTCAATTTTTTTTAGTCAGTAATGAAAAACAGCATCTATTTTCCTTAACATTTCCAGTAGTTGTAGTTAATAGAGGTAGCTGAGCTACTATTCAAAGAAGTTAATCTTTGTGGATGAGGATTTTTTTCAAATGTTTAAGTTGTTCTTTAAACTACACAAGTTCTGTTAATGCAATAAAATATAATAGGAAAAAGAAAATGGATGCAAGAAACTTTTGCATTTGGCACCTTGTCTAGATTGATACCTCAAATACTCTTTTTTAATAAAGTTAATGCAAACATCAGGACACATCACAAAGATTTGCTACATATTTACAAGGCACCAACCCTTTCTCACCTTTAACATGAATTAAGCAAATCAATGAAAAGCATATCAAGTTCCCCCCACCCCCAAAAAACTGTAGTATAAATATATACTTCAGTTCAGTACAATTCATGAAAGTTTGGCCTGGGAAGAGTAAAATAATCCAGATCGTTCTTACAATATAGAAACTGTAAACATTTAATAGCTGCCTATAGGATTGGTGTACTGTGCAAAAGTTATTATTACTGGGTACAAGAATCAAAATGGCAAAAACAAACTATATAAAACTCTGTAAGAAGGTGCTATACTTCTGTGATACAAAAGCAAAAGAGGGATATTCAATTGAGATAAAAATGTCATGCTACTCCTAAGAAGCTGAATGCTCCTTTAATGTAGTAAATCTGTAGTGTGTTTGTGATGTGTTGTGTGTGTGTGTGTCTATATGTGGGCAGAATTTTTTTTTAATTTAAGGCCTAATGAGTAAGGCTTGTTTGAACAAATGAAGTGTGGAGATCAAAAGTCTTGAAACAAATGTATACTGGCATAATGGAAAAGCACCAATGTGAAAGGAAGCAGAAGTCCCCACACAACTTGCTTTGTAGATTTCCTAGTAAATTCCCTGCAGTAGAAGGCCATTGAATTTTTTAAATTACTCTAAATTTATTAACTGTTAATAATTCCATCCCATGAGATGGCTAACCCTGGCTTTTTCTGTCATTTTACGCACTCTGCCTGATCTGGATGTACCAAGATTCAGAGGATCTTCAGTGGACACAAAATTGTCATTATCAGAATCATCATTATATAAAACAGTCCTCCTGCCTTGGTTTCTTGTTTTAATTCGAGGCAGTCTACTGAAACGTCCTGAAAACATTGTATCAAATTCATCATCTGCAATACGTGCACGTTTGGCTCTGGTGGCTCCTCTAGAAGCACCTCTTCCTCCTCTCCCTCTCCCTCTCCCTCTAGTGGCACCTGCACCTCTTCCTCGACCTCCTCGTCCCCTGCCTCCTCTTCCTCGGCCTCCTCTACTCCATCTACCCCATCTTCCCCATCTGCCCCTTCCTCCTGTGCCTCTTGTCTTCCAGTTTCTTTTCCCATTGGCATACTGCTTTCTTAGTTTTCTTTTAGGCCTGGTTTGTATGAATTTGCTATAGTCATGGTCTCCATCTATGTAATCTTGATCTGTTCTGGAAGTTGATTCAGAATCAGAATCAGAACCACAGGTACTTTCAGAACTTAAACTGGATCCTAACTCTCCACTCTCTGAGGAGGACAAATGTGATTTCTCCTTTGTTTCTTTTTTCTCTTTCTCTTCTCTTCCCATGTTTTCATCTTCTTCTGATGCACTAAGTAGTTTTCTTTTGATTCCTGTCCGAGGCTCTCTGCCATCACCATTTGTAAGGGGTCCATCAAGGGAGTGATCTAAATGAAGACGAATAATTTTTTGAAGTTAAGCTTTGACATTGAAGATAGTTATTTAAATTCAAAAGTAAAATAAAAATCCTATCAAACGGGGCACCTGGGTGGCTCAGTGGGTTAAAGCGTCTGCCTTCGGCTCAGGTCATGATCCCAGGGTCTTGGGATCAAGCCCAGCATTGGGCTCTCTGCTCAGCAGGGAGCCTGCTTCTCTCTCTCTCTGCCTGCCTCTCTGCCTACTTGTGATCTCTGTCTGCCAAATAAATAAATAAAATTAAAAAAAAAATACTTAGCACCCAAAGATAGATGGGGTAAAGTAATGGAGAATATTGGAATATAGATTTAAATCTGTTAAAAATGGAAGATACTAATGTTCTGAGTTTTGTCTGATTGTGTTTTGCGGGGTGCAGGGAGGAAAGTATGGAGGGATAATAGGTGGTGAGGAAGCTGGGCAGAATTTCAAGGGCTTGAACTCTATATAAAGAATTATGTAAGAACATGTATCAGAATAATTTCATTCGTTCAATGAATATTTACTGTTACCTACTATATTGCCCGAAGTTTTAAATGTGGCAATAATGAGACAAAGTCCTTGCTCTTTGAATTTATATTTTAGTGGGGAAAGCATGATAGACAATGAAATAAATTAAAAAAATACAATTACAAGTAATGACACATGATATAAAGAAAAAAGAGAAGAGTATTAAAAAACTCATGTGTATACATGGTGGATATTTTAGATAAGAAAGACTTTCATGTAGAGGTAGTATCTGAGAAAAGAACTGAATGAAGTAAGATCTGGGAAAAGAACATTCCATTGGAGGAAACAGAAACCCACTGTAACTGGAATGGAAGAAAAAACAGAGTGGAAGGAGATAACTGCCAGCGATGAAGGGTTTTAGAACAAGAAAATGACAGGATATGATTTATATTTTTTAAAGAGCACTATGGTTCTTGTACATAGAACAAATTATGGAAGGGATTAGAAGCCGAGACCAGTTGGGAGACCACTGCAACTGTCTAAATAAGACATGATGAGGGATGTACCAAGAGAGGTGATGAGGAGTGATTGGATTTGGAGTGATTCCTTCTAGAGGAGCCATCAGAAACAACCTTTTATTTTTAAAGTCTGAACTAACAGGAATTGCTGTTGGATTGGATATCAAGTGGTAAGCACAGAATGAAGGTTAACTCCGGGGTTTTATGGCCTGAGAAAATGGTTGAATGGTAAAGATATTTTGCTAAGTTGGAGAATACTGAAAGAGGAATAGGTTTAAGCAGTCTGGTAGGAAAAAAAATCAAGATTCCAGTTTTAAATACTACTAGAGTTCCAAGCAAAGACAATTAATAAAAAAAAAGAAAAAGAAAAAAAAAACAGGTAGATATACCTGTCTAGTGATCAGGGCAGACTCATTTAGAGGTAGAGATATAATTTTGGAAAATTTCAGTAAGAGATAACATTTAGGGTCAAGAGAACTGAGGGTACTTATTAAGAGAGCAAACAAAGAAAGAGAATGTGACCGATGACAGACTTGGGATATTCCAGCATCTAAAGATAAAGAACAACTGGCAAAGATAATTGAGAAGGAACAGCTAGTGAGGTAGGACAAAAACAGGAGTGGACTGAAAAGCTTGGTAGGAGTAAAGATTAGGGTTGTATGTGAAGCATAGTAACAAGATTAGTTTAACAGTCTAGATGTTATAGACTGGATTGTGTTCTTCTCTCAAAAAAATATACATATTGGTTTTGAAGAAGATGGCAGTGGAGTAGGAGAACCCTAGGTTCATATTGTCTCACAAACACAACAAAAACAATCAAATCATCCTAAATACTGCAGAAATCAATACGAAGACTGACAGAACAAACTCCACAACTGAAGGGAGAGAAGAGGCCATATTAAATTTGGTAGGAAGTATGCAGATGTGACTTAGGAGAGAAATGGATAATGGGCACTGCACAGGGGAGGGAGCTGCAGTCACAGAAAAGGGTGTGAGAGAGAGCAGAACACACAGGGGAATGCACAAGGAGAATATTTACCCAAAGCCACTGGCTTGGAACATGAGAGGGGCCGATTTTCATGAGTTCTTAAAACCAGTGAGGCTTAAAGCTCACAATTTTAAAGGTAGTAGGCTTGGCTGGGACAAAGCCCTGAGGGCACTGCTCTGCTCTTGGAGGGAGAAGGCAGGCAAACAACCTGGGAACAGAACATGGAAATAGTGATTTGAAGGATATCTGGGACATACAGGAGGGAGATTATTCAATCTCCTTGGAGGGCTTTCCTGAGAGGCAGCTTTCATATAGAGATGCCTCTCCAGAAACAAAGGAGTGGGCCAGAGCCATTTCCCTCCAGTAACCCTCAGCATAAACACAGAGCTACCAGTGGGAAACAGTGTAGCCCTGACAACAGCTAATTAACTTGCTTATACCAAGTCTCATACCCCTGCACTGGGATTGCCCATCTTAGTCAAGTTTGCCTCAGTCCCAGCATGTGCGCCCATCCCCCAGAATATCAGCACAAGCCCCTACCACACCACATCTCTAAAGCCTGTTGCAGTTTTAAAGGTCATCAGGATTATCTGGGATAGAGCCTGGAGGGCACTGTACTTCTGGAGAGAAGTTAGGCAAAAAAACCTGGAGGTGTACAGTTTGAAAACAGAAAACTAGAAAATGCTTGGGGTACACAGGTGGGAGATTATTTGCTCTTCTCAGAGTGTTTCCCTGAGAGGCAGCATTCATGGAGACTGCTCTCAGGGAACGAGAGCTGACTGTTTTTTTTTTTTTTCTCCCCTGCTCCTCAGCATAAACAGAGCCAGCTGCAGGAAGCACCACAGCACATATACTGGCTGCCTAACATGGTTACACTAAGTCCCACACCCCAGCTTTCTGATGAGACTGCCCTTCTCAGTCAAGCTTGCTCCAGTACCAGCATGGCGGGCTCCTCCCTCAGAAGATCAGCAGAAACCCTTGCCCAAACCACGTATCCCTACAAGAGTTTTACAGGGCTTCAGTTGGAGTAGAAATAGTATCAGGTCTCATTTGATAAGCAGACCAGAGCACAGTAGTTAAAGCTCACCACATTTTGGCCAAGGAACAAATACTGTACACTGCAAGCAAGGAAAGCCTCTGCAGGCGACTGGCCTGAAGGACAGAGCAATCAAAACACAACAGCAGAGCATACAAAGAACATAGCAAAGAGAAATCTCAGAAGTGACAGGTACTAGAAACTAAATGACTGTTTCTTCATAAAGCCATTAATTTCAGGAGCAGGAAACAACTGGTTTTCCTAACACACAGAAGAAGGCAGAAACCTAGACAAAATGCCAAGATGGAGGACTTCATCCCAAATGAAACAACAAGAAAATATCACAGCCAGGGATCTAATTAAATCAGATATAAGTAATATGCCTGGTCCAGAATTTAAAGTAACAATCATATGGATACTCACTGGGCTTCAGAAAAGAATGGGAGACATCAAGAAGATACTTGTCACAGAGATAAAAGAGTTAAAAAACAGTCAGAAATGAACAATGCTATAAATGAGGTTGGAACATGATGCAATGACAACCAGGCTGGAAGAAGCTGAGGAATGATTTAGTGATACAGAAGACAAAATAATGGAAAATAATGAAGCTGAACAATATACAGAGAGAATTATGTAATATGAGAATAAACTTAGGGGACTTAGTGATTCTATCAAATGTATAATCATTCTTATTATATGAGTCTCAGAAGAAGAAGAGATAAAAGGAGGCAGAAAATTTATTTCAAGAAGTAATAGCAGAAAACTTCCCAAATCTGGGAAAGAAAACAGACATCCAGGCCAAGAGAAAAGAGAACCCCCATCAAAACAAATCAGGCCAATACCAACACATATTGTAATTAAACTGGCAAAATCTAGTGATAGAGAAAAAAATCTTAAAAGCAGAAACACTAAATAAATCCTTAACTTACAAGGGAAGACCCATAAGGCTGGATGGAGATTTCTCAATAGGAACTTGGCAAGCCAACAGGAAGTGACATGATATATTCAATTTGTTGAATGGGAAAAATCTGAAGCAATGAACACTATCCAGTAAGGCTGTTACTCAGAATAGAGGAGACATAAAGAGATTCCCAGATAACCAAAAACTAAAGGAATATGTGACCATGAAACCAGCCCTGAAAGAAATATTAAAGGGGAATCTTGGCATGGAAAGGAAGGACCAAAAGTGACAAAAACTAGAAAGGAACAGAGAAAATCTCCAGATATATTGACAAAACAAGTAATAAAATGGCACTAAATACATGTATATCAATGATTACTCTGAATGTAAAAGGACTAAACACTCCAATCAAAAGACACATGCTGTCAGGAGTTAAAAAAAAAAACAAAACAAAAACAAGCAACATTAAAAAAAAAAAAAGAACAAAACCAAAAAACCAAACAGACAAGAGCCATCTATATGCAGTCTATAAGAGAATGATTTTAGAGGTGCCTGGGTGGCTCAGTGGGTTAAAGCCTCTGCCTTCGGCTCAGGTCATGATCCCGGGGTCCTGGGATCGAGCCCCGCGTCGGGCTCTCTCCTTGGTGGGGAGCCTGCTTCCTCCTCTCTCTTTCTGCCTGCCACTCTGCCTACTTGTGATCTCTCTCTGTCAAATAAGTAAAATCTTAAAAAAAAAAAAAAGAATGATTTTAGACATACAAACACCTGCAGATCTAAAGTGAGTGGATGGTGAAACATTTATGACACAAATGCATGTCAATAATTAGATGGAGTAGCAATATTTATAACAGATAAACTAGATTTTAAAACAAAGATTGTAAGAAATGAAGAAGGCTATATATCATAATAAAGCAGACAATACAAGAAGATGTAACAATTGCAATTATTTATATGCCTAATATGTGATCACCGAAATATATATAACAATGAATAACAAACATAAGGAGATTAATAATAACACAATAATAGGAGGGGGCGTAAATACTCCATTTATATCGATGGACAGATAATATAAATAGAAA